CCCGGTGGCGCGCTGGAAGCGCGCGGGGTTGTGATTATTTTTTCCTGCAGGACGCCTTTCATGTCTCCCCACACGGCGTGTGTCAACAGCCCATCTGGCGCCACCAGACACCAGCAGTTTTCCTCGCCATGCTTTTCATGGGCGCTTGGTATTCGTGCTATGCGCTGCCTTAGAATAGCTGCGGGTGTTGTGGTGGAGCCGCCTGGACAGCTGGGAGCTGCCCAGTTAACTATTGCATCCCTTCTGGTTCCCGTGTGGGGCTCCGGTTTCCTTCGCACAGCAAGGCGCTGGTCCCGCGCTGCTCCGCTCCCTCGCGTGCGCTCTCGTCTGCTGCCATAGCCCTGGGCCGTGCTGCTCGTGGCAAGTCCAGGCTGCTCAGGGTGGGCCTGGACGGTACCTGGGTATCCACGAACAGCCGCGTGCTTTTGGTGGAGCGAAAATGAAAATGTGTAATGGGATGGAAGATGCAATGGGAAGAAGCTTCATTATTTTGATCCTTGATGGTTTGGTTGGCAGTTCTTGCCGATGCGTGGTGCTGAGAAGGCAGGATAGCAGCCTGTGTGCAGCTGGATGGCTCCTGGCTCTGAGGAGACCTGCGGCTGCACCGGCCCTAGGAAGCAGTGCAGCAGCAGAGGGATGCAGCAGCATCAGGCTGTTAGGGGTTTGAGACAGGTTTTCCAACAGCTACAGCAAGATCAGCTCCTGAAGAGTCTGAGCTTTTCATTATGCAGTTTCATTCCCAAACATCTTGTGGTGGTTGTTTTGTTTTCACTTGTAGCTCTTCCAGCTTCAGAGGGCAAATACCACATCAGTGAGTAAGGTACTTTGATATTGTTGGTGTAAGGGAGCAAAGCAGCCAACTTCTGACATCTCCTGATCCTGCCCTTCAGAGCCCTCTCCACAGCCGTCCTCAGTGCTGTCTGTCTCTGGTCCCTGTCTTCTGGCTGAACTGGTTTGGCTGTTGGTGGAGATGGTGTGCACACCTGCACCACCACACCGCTCTCTGGAGGGGCTCTTTCTGGAGATGCCTTTCTTCCCTTCCCAGAACGCTGGGCATTGCTTCTTGTCTCACCTAATTAAAAAAATATACCCTCAATGTGTGTGTTGCCATCTCTTGTGCCAGTTTTGTCTCTGTTTCAGCGGCGTCAGAGCGTGCGGCTCCGTGCCTGCACGTGTGCCCGTGGAGGGCTGGGCAGTGCCCGCAGATCCACAATTCTGTTATTCAGTTCAGTTCCTAATGAGCTCTCTGGCACATTAACAAAACAAACAGTGTGCTGCAAGTGCGGGCTGCAGATGGGGGGCAGCTATTTGATTTATATAGCTTAACATCTGGCAGTTTCAGCCTTGTTCAGTTCTGCATTTTGATCATTCCATCTGGTTTTTGCATGTCAGCAGTATCTGCAGTACGCGGCACCACAGGACGAAGGCAGATACTGTCCCTAAATAAGATCTGTGCCTTCTCACGTTTTATTTTCTGTATTTTGACTCAAAAGCAGGAGAACCAAGAGCCCAGGACCCTTTTTAGACACCTTCTCCTGCACACACACATCAACCCTTGAAGCAGTCCAAATCCTGAGCTGCTGTCATTTCCTCAGCTTTTCATTTTCTCAAGGAAAAGAAACAAAGCATTAAGATCAGCAGTTCTGAAACTGTTCCTCTTTATCTAAAATTACCCATATTGTACTACTAATCCAGCCATTGATGTCAAGAGAAGGGTAATGGAAATCTGCCACGGCTTAATTTTCACATTTTCACAATATCAGACGTTTCTTGCAGCAGAGATTGCTGTCCTTTTAAGTGCAGAATATTCCCTTTTTCAACAGAATTTAAACCACATTTCTTTTAAGAGGAAAGAAATCTGATGCAGTCACGTACGGCAATCAAGAGGAGCTCTGGCTTTCCACCAGGGATCGTACTCTTTTCTAAATAAACATTATTGTTCTGTAAACAAGTGATAGATCTGGAGAGAAGTGAATGGTGCAATGGGGCTGCACCTACGTCTGCTGGCTCCCAACGCCGCTGCAGGGCCACGCAAAATCCTGCGAGCGCCCTTGCTTTCATCTGCTACCAAATGCTGCCCTAAGAAATGAGTTATTTTCCTTTCGGGAGATGAAACGTTGATCCAAATAAACCGAGGTTCCTCTCATCTTCCCCTTTGCCCTCTGGATTGCTTATTTGTAGGACACAGAGTGGACTGGTTATAATGAGGTGGAGAAAGTTCAAAGATGAGAAAATAAAGCTTGTTGTCTTGTTGTGGTCTCCTTTGCTCAGGACACATAGAGATGCTTGCCTGTAATTGGTTTTGTATGTGAAACACAACGTTTTGTTTCCTATGCAGATGCTGTTTATGAACTGGGTGCTCGATGCCTTTCTATCGTGGTTGAGTCACCAGTGCCCCAGCCAGCGCTGTGACAGCCCTGGTCAGAGGCTGGAGCCATCGCTCCCCTCGGGCGCTGGGATTCGGGCACAAATTCCTGGGCTCAGAAGCAAAACTCAGAGCCCACATTTGGCAGCGAGGCTGGCACTGGCCTGAGCTGTTTGCTGGGGGACGGAAGCCCCGGCTGTGTGGGCGCAGCCATGTGTAACCCAGGCCGTGTTTTCTGTGTGTGCAGTGGCCATTTCGGAGCCTTCCTCTGTTCTCCCCCTCACCACATCCGTACGTACTGCAGCTGGGTTTCTAGCGTTTGTAGGTATAAACCATCATGGACAGAGTAATGTGTTCCACTCCAAGTGGTCCAGGTCTCATTTGTGCTCTGTGTCCCGTGCAGGAAGGATCAGAACGTGCTGTCCCCCGTCAACTGCTGGAACCTGCTGCTCAACCAGGTGAAGCGCGAGAGCAGGGACCACACCACGCTGAGCGACATCTATCTCAACAACATCATCCCGCGCTTCGTCCAGGTCAGCGAGGACTCAGGGCGCCTCTTCAAGAAGGTAAAGGACTGCCCAAACACATTCATTTTGTTTTGGCCCCTCTGAAACACAGGGTTTGAGCTGGCACCGCTGGTGGGTCGGTTTCTTGTTGACTGTCCCTAACACATGGGGCATTTTTCCCCTCTGTGTGGATAACTGTGTGTGACTTACCTTTGATTCCTTTGGTAGTTTTCTTCTGCTGCTGTTTTGGGATTTTTCCCAAAAAGGGGTCAGTTGAGATTTGTTGGTCTAAATTCAGGCCATGAGTTTTCCTCCTCACCTGCTCAGATTTGTGCACGTTTTGAAACTTTCATTAAATAAGCAAAAACCCAGGTTTTCCACTCTGAATATAATCAAGATCAACTCTCCAAAGACAAATCTTTACCTGCTGCAGAGGAGAAACTACTGTTAAAAGAAAAAATAGGCACAATTTCCAACATACTAAATAATAAGAGGATGTCCTTTTCTGGAAAAAGGAGAAAATGCAACCTCGTCCCCTGATTTCCACCTGGAAAAAAGGTGGGGCAGTGTGGGAGGGTATTTCTCTGTTAAGAATCTGTATTTTCCAGTTGAAGAAACACGGTATGGAAGCTTTGAAACCCCTTTAGAATGGAAATGGCTCTTTCTGCAGAGATTTGTCAGTGGCTGTAATATCTGCTGGGTGTTAAAAGCATCACATTCGAACTTGCAAAGCTGTTTCTCTCCCCCACTGCCCAGCCCCTGCAATGTGTCCTATCTGGAGGTGTTTCTACCGCTGCAAGGCCTGCAGAAGGAGTTGCAGGAGGACTCGAGCTTTCTGGGGAATGCTTTTGTGGAGACTCCTCTGCTGTCACTGCCTCTGAGAGAAATGGGAGGGGAACCCGTTAAAAGCCTCTGGTGTGCTTTGTCTGTCTGTGCCTTCAGCGGTGTCAGTGCTTACAGTAAAGCAGTGTCTGTCTGCAGTCAGTTAATGCTGCTGGAAGATGCACGGTGCTGGACGCTGTGTGTGGTGTTTCATGGTAAGATGCACTTGCAGGAGCAGCACCTTGGTGTGTGGTACCCGAGGAGCTGTTTGTGTGCGTTGGCAGTTGATCTCTACAGGAGAATGAAAATCAGTGCAAGTGCGCTCTGGTGTTCCTGGTCATCCTGGTTCTTGACTTTGTAACAGACAGCAGCAGAGCGTGAAAATTAAACTGAAGTATTGCATTCTGCTTCTCTATCTCGAGACATTGCCCAGGGAGATGAGGAACCTTCTCTTTTTCAAGTAACGTCACACCAAGGCCTTTTTGACCTTTTAAAACTTTCTTGTAATTACATTACGGTTGATTAGATACTTACACGGGATTATCGAATGGCAGTTCCTCTTCAAGTCCTCTAATCCTTCTGGAGAAGGAGTAATCTCCCCGCTGAATTTCAACAAGGGCTGTGCTTGAGGAAGGTGGCTGAGAAAACGCCTCAGCAAAGTGAATGGAAATTGATATTATCCCAGTTTGGCTGGGAACTGGCGTCGTCGTTTTCAGCCCCTTGGATGCGCATGGGTTTGCCCTGCTTTGTTTTATTTGGGCAGTAGGGCTTGAATGAAAACAAACAAACAACCGACCAACAGCAAACTTCCCCTCTGGTTTCTTTCTCGCAGACCAAACTCATTCTCCGTGTCAATTTGTGCAAACAAAAAGGCACTTGTTAGTAAACTCCAGCTACTTGTGTCTGGTGGCCAGGCACACCGAAGCGGCTGGAGGCCAGGGCAGGTATTACATTGCTATTCCTTGTGCTGTAAAACCTGAAAGGACTTTCTCCTCCCTCTCCCCATAGCTTCCCCTATCAGTTTTTAAACTTGAGTTTTCCTCTCCCATTTGTTAATGGAGAAGTGCTGCCGTAGTATGAGACAGCTCAGAGAAGTGAGTGCTCTTTGGCAGTCTTGAAGCAGATGTAGTTTACACAGGAGCTGCATGGACAGTGATGCTACTGTGCCACGCTGCAGAGCTGTCCATGGAGCTGGGGGAGGCAGACTGGGAGTTTGCAGTCAAAACCCAAGTGTGAATGAGCTCTGAACGGCGTGGCTGGGTTAATGTGGTGCTGCACCTCTGCAGATGCAGTTACCAGGCTGTGTCAGTGTAACAGCCGCTGTGTTCTGTCCCAGACCCGGGTTTGCTGCCTCCCCCGTGTTGGTCCAGCTCCCTCACTGGTTTTGGACTGGTCTGGTCCAACGCAGAGCGGTCAGGCTGGGTGCACTGCGGTCTGGTGAGATGCAGCCTGCAGGAGGACGAGCCTTGGTGCGATCCTGGGCGCCCTGGTTTAGCACAGGGGCTTGGATTTTACTGTTTTCCAATGGAAATTGTAGTTGTGCTGCCAGGCTTGCTGCTCATTTGGGAGCTCTCTGTCCTTGTTTTGTGCCATACAGGGAATCTGTGTTAAAAACAAGGACATTTTATTATTTGAAAGTCTGAGGAACATTATTTTTTACACTTCTGTTTGGAAATCATACTTGTGTCTGGCTGATTGCAGTGCTCCAGTGACATTGAGGACCTGCTTGCTGCATTGTGAATAATGCTGTGACATGCAGAGAGGATAGCAATACGGAGATCCTTATTGCAGTGGAAATGAAATCCTGAGGCACGAGATCCGTTTCTTGGGCCATTTGTAATTCAGAGCTTTCTCGCATCGGTGCTTTGTGTCGTGCTGTGTTGAGCAGGTGAGCTGGGAAGGACAGGCAGGATAAGAGGGATGTGCTCGAGATCCCTTTGGTTGAGCCCTCGTGGGGCCGTATCTTGGCTGTCTGAAGTGCAGAGATCTGAGCACGGCGCAGGGCTGTGATCCAGCCCCAGGGCTGCGCGGGGCTGGTGCTGCGATAAGGCCTGCACGGAGGGACGGGAGCAGGGACAGGAGCTGGTGGTGGCACAGCACGGAGCCCAGACTGGGCAAACTGGGGAGCATTGGTAGTGGTGGCGATGGGGTTTGTCTTCTCTCAGTGGTGGCTGCACTGCACAGGATTTCAGAGGTTTCTGTTTGTATTTGCAGTGTCACAGGAAGCCGGCATGGCCTGGCTTTGTCTGCTGGGTTTGCTGCTGGTGTCTGGTGATGAAGAGGTCCCTCTCCAGGGCTGTTGTGACGTGGAGGGTCTCATTTGTTTGAGTGCGAGATGGGAGCGTGCCAGCCACTTCAAAGGTATCTGTGCTGATAAGAGGCGCTGTGTTTGCTGGAGTGGTGCTGGACGCACCGCGTGTGGCCGCCCTGTTTCTTCCTGCCTTGGATCTGTTTGACTCCTCGGTTCGCTCTCCCTGCAAAACCCTTCCACACGCGAGCTGTTTGCCCCAAATGGGGTTTTATGTCTGACAGGAAACTCACAACCTAAGGCGTAGGTGTTCCTTGAACACCGTACTCTTTCTATGCACCTTGTTTTGGGTTCTCCTGAGGAAACACTCTAAGGTTAATGGGGATTGGTGCTGGCGCCGTCCCGCAGCTCCATCCCGCTGGTGTCGGTGCGGATCTGGCGCTGGGCTCCAGCAGCCCCAGGAGCGGTGCCCGTGTATCCACGCTGCTGCAAAGGGAAAGAAGATACGTGGTGAAATAAAGAACCGCGCTCTCGAGCAACTGAAACTGGGGGCAACTGGTGGTTGTCCTGATGACAAATGGTGACCCCGGGGAAGGAGGCAGTGTTCTCCTGTTTGTCCAGCAGTTAATGATTTAGCCCTGGGTTTCGTACAAGGTTGAAGTTTAAAGCCTGGCGTTGCTGCCCTGTTTTTGGTCAGCGCCCGTTCTCGTGTGTGCTCCTTTTCACTGCTCCATCTGCTTTTACAGAGAGCACTGCTTTGATTTCCTACTGCTTGTCTTCCTTCAGCGGGGCCCTCTTACTTGCCTAGTTATATACCTGTATTTGAAATATTCTTCCATTTCAGCTGATTCCCCTTTTGATCTCCCCTTTTCTCCCCTGCCACCCTGTCATTTTAATGTGTCGCTTGGTTCCTCAGCATGGCCCAACCTTTCTGTTTCTGGCATAGGTACCGCGTCTTCTTGCCTCATTTTTAGTGACATCCCTTGGCATTACGTGTAGCCTTTGTGTGTAGCCTTTGAGAAGCAGTCTTTTAAATCTGGTATCTTTAATCACCCTTTCTCTGTTGTTCTCTGTATCTCTTTGAGATTCCACGAAAAGCAAACCAATACTTCTTGTTCAGATTTAATGGAAAACCAGATTGCATTTCAAACATTCATCTCCTGCTCTGTTTTCCACCCGGGGTGCAGCAGCCCTGTCCTGCCCTGTGTCCTGGCTCCTCTCGGTCCAGAGCAGGGGACAGCGAGGGGCAGGTGCCCTCCAAATCTTTGCTCTGAGAGCGTAGCTTTCCCTCACTCCATTGTGGTCAGTTATGGTATTTATGTGAGAAATCCCTGCAAGAAGAAATGAAGAAAACAAAACTGAGGATGTGAAATTCGCTTCCTGTTTAATACCTTTGATAGTGGGGGAAAAAAAGCAGTTTATCTGCTGGTACACTGCACAGTGTTTGATGTGGAATGGAAAATCCACAATGGGTTGCTTGAAAGCCTTGCAGTAATCAAGGAGGAAGAATTATTAATTCTCTGAAGGGGTCCGTGCTGAGGGTGACCTACTTTGCAGCTGCAGTGTGTCTCCTTGCTGCGCTGCTACCAGAATATGAATAATTTTAAAATGCACCACACACGGAAAAGCCACGCACATGAAAGAAATGCACTGACCAAAATGATGGGTATTTGTGAAAATGCTTCTCCATAACATTGTAAACACGTAAATACACAAATCCCATCAGTAGAACTGTCGCTGAGGTGCAGGGCTGGTCAGTACGTGCTGTGTCCGCACTCTTGCATCCTTTCCCACTGCACCTTCCTCTGCCTTGGGTGCCTGAGGCAACAGCAATGGGGAGTCCTTGCTGTTTCCCAAAAGCTAAAGGACGCTGAGGCCTGTTGTGAAGTGGTTCTTGCTGGTTTTCCACTGGAGAAACGAAATCTCCTGGATTTCTACCTGCTTATTTTTAGAGCAAATGGAACGGGGGAATGGAAAGGGAGTGAAGTGATTTGTGTGCTGCTTTTATCAGGGTTAGCAGGAGCTAAATCAGAGTTAGGGGTTGGGTTCCCCACCTGGAACTGGAGCGGGCGCTTTCTGTTGCGCGGCTTTGTACCTGCCCAGCTACAACGACACCATCAGAGCCCAGTGCCCAGAGTCACGGCCTGGACACCAAAGGCTACAACTGCAGTAATTTGACTACATGTGACACAGGCTGGAAACGTCACTTCTGTGTATAGATTGGGCAAGGAATGTGGTGCCTTTGGGCCTTTTCAGTGTGTGAAAATAGCCCATTGTTACTGCATTTTGTGCCTAATCTCCTGTGTGGTTTTATCATCGTTCACTACACCGGACGCTCGTCTTCAGCACAAATTCGGGTCAGGCAGGAGCACGGCAGCAGCACGTTCAGACCGCGGGTCCTTGGTCTGACCCCTCGCGTTGGCTTTTCCTACAGAACACCCCACAGCACTTTGGGAAGGGCACAGGGGGAAGACAGCACAGAGCTGTTCCGCAGAGCACTAAACCCAGCGGAGTTACAGGACACGGCTGCGGGGTTGTGCAGGACACAGCTGCGGGGTTGTGCAGGACTTGCTGGAGCTCTGTGTGTGTGTGTGAAGCCGTTTCACGTGTTGCTCGTTCAGTGAGGGTGAACATTGCTGGCTTTGCGGCAAGAATGAGTGCTCTCAGCCAGAAAATGGCTTGGTTTGTTGGGATTGAGTGCCCAAAGCCCGAGATTCAATAGCATCAGCACTGATTTCTGAAAAATCAAAAATAAATAAGGGAGAAAAAGGGGGTGGGAGTTGTTCGGGAGCAGCAGAGTACGGCAGGCAGTGATGTGACGTGGTTTCAGGGAGGAATTTTCGGAGTACAGTATTCGGCTGTAATGAGGAAAATTCCTTGTTACTGACATAGCGCTGAAACAAATCACTGGTGAAATGGTGGAGAAAGCTAGATAATACAGCTGTAATTTAAATATGGCTTACCAAGGCATAATGGGTCATTAAGCTGGAAACTGATGATCTATCACCCAAAATATGCATGTGTGTTGTATGACAGAGGTTTTGTTTTCCTAGCTTTTCTTGAAATTCTGGAGAGATTGCAGCTTGAGAAGAAGTCTTTGCAGAGTCCCTGGTCTGCAGGGCCCTGTGATAGTGGGTGAGCGCTTTCTGCGTACAGCTCATGGGAGAAACTTGCATAAAACTTGCACGGGCGTCAGGCAGGTCCTGAGCTTCACTGGGAGCACATCCCTGTAGCACAGGGGTGCGTTGATATCAGAGGGGTTGCACTGGTGGGGATGCTGCAGCTCTTCTACAGAGGAGCTGTGCAGTTACACGTGCAGTGCAGAAATAACAGGGAAACTGGCTGGTTGTTCAGATGAGAACGTGGGGCTGATAAATCGTATTTGTTACTGCGTGCAAATGAATTGAAGGCAGGTCCGCTTTGAAAAAAAAGAAGGAAAGAAAGAACATTATCAAGGATCTGCCTGGCAAGCCGTCTGTTTAACAAACTTTGTAAATAGTTGTTAACTAAGGCCTGATAAATGTCCTGTATTGTAACCTGAATTTAGACAGGAATAAGAACGATGTTGTGCTTCTGCATCACTGGTCGCAGTAAGAACTCCATCCACTCGCCTCCCAGCTCCCACTGTTTATTTTAAAACATTAGTACACTTAATCTTTGTTTTCCATTTATCTGTATTTAATTATCCCTTTTAAAAAGCTGTAGGAAAATGGTCTCGTTGGAGAGCGGTTTCCAGAACGAGCAGATTTGGGTTCCAGTTCCAGCCCTGGCACTCACATAATTTCAGGCACTGTGTTTGACGAAATCTCTTATCTCGGTGCATCATGCGTTCACCCAATGGTTTCTGAGCGCTTCCGTGTTGTTACTGAGTTCGTACAGGAATTACCTCCTGAACTTCACGCTGTGCTTGTTTTGAAGCCGTAGCATCTTTTATTGGAGCTGGCGATGCAGGGCATGAGATGCTGACAGCATTCCTCAGCCCTCCTGTTTGTTGTCCCCCAAAATACTTCGCAGCTGAAGTCGTTCCTGCTGGCTGGAATGCGGAACAGGCAGGCAGCGCTGCAGCGGATCCCAAAACATCTTGATCAAATTAGGGAGCAGGGCCACACAAAGGGGCCGTTGAGGAGCTGGCACGGCGCGGGGGCTCGTGTTCCAGCGAGGGGTGGCAGCGACCTACAGCTCTGCACATGGTGCATGTACACCCTGTTGTAACAAAGGAGTGTGTGTGTGTGTGTTGTGAGCTCTGTGTGTGTGTGTGAGCTGTGTGAGCTCTGTGTGTGTGTGTGTGTGTCCGTGCACGCAAGCATTGGGCGCCTCCTTCTGCTCTCCTGTGCTGGGGTGACGTGGAAAAGGCTGGAGCAGGGCAGCGAGTTGGGCTCCTGGCCCGATCTGCTGTCGGCCCTGCTGGGCTCTCGGGCGCTGCTGGTCGTTCTCCTGGTTTGCGGGCAGCAGGACGCTGTTGTTCATCCCTGCCATCCAGGAGCGTTAATGGGTTGAAAAATGTAATACAGAATTTGACACTGAGGTTGAAAATGATACCTGGAGATGTTTGCAACTGCAGAGGCTGCAGTGTTGTTTCTCCTTGACGTGCATCTGGTTTGTAATTCCACACCGCATTCGGCACGATGCTGAAATCTCCTATGGCGATGCTTAAGATCAGCATCATTTAACCTGGACGCGCTTTGAGCTCCATGGGACCTCTCAGAAGTTCTCTCTGTGCATTGGATCCACCACAGCACCCAAGCAGAAATGATCCTTGGCTTCCCCTAACCAACAGTTCTGCCTCCCCCAGTGTATTCTCATTTATCAGGCTCAGCCAGCTCAACGATTATCCCCCTAAACCGTTCTTTCTGGTGTAATCAGTACTGGGAGCAGCACTAAATTAGCAGTGTTCATTGCGTAGCTCTTGTTTTCGTGACACCTATGATCTGTCTTACCTTCATCTCAATGTAAGGGTTTTTCCAGCCCAGCAATCTGGCAGCTTCTTTCTTGAGAGCTCATTTGGAAGCACAAAGAGGTTTGTGTTTTGACAATTTGGCACTTACGCTTCTTCTTTTCTTCTTCAACCTGAATATGCATTAAAATATTCATTTAAATCTCTTTCGCATAATTGATGCTTCAGCAGTTCGTACAGTGAATGAGCAATTTTATGCAAGAAAGAAGCGATTGGGCTGCAGAGCGCCGGGCGAGAGGCAGATGATGGGTCCGGTGTGAGCAGCACAGCCAAGCGTGCTGCGCAGAGCTCGAGCTCAGCGCTCAGGGCAGTCGCACAGACCCAGGCAGTCGCTTCCATTCATCATCTCCTGTGCTGAGAAAAGGCAGTCACGAAGTCTCCGTGCCCCACTTGGCTGCGGGGATGAGCAGCGGCTCCCCTTGCTGCTGCTCTCGAAGGTGGACAAGCCATGGATCGTGGTTCTGCAGAGTCCTGGAGCCTGGGAACCAGCAGCTTTTTGTTTGAATTAGGGCAGGATCCCCCCTTGTGAGCGTCCGTGTAGACACAGCTCACGCCTGGGAGCGCGTTTAGGAACACGGGACTGCAAAACGCGAAGGACCCGACCGTGGGTGCTCTGCTGGTTCATCCTGTGGCGCTGCCGAGTGCCAGCACCAGCAGTCTGTAGTAAACCATCCATCATGCAAGAAACACAGCGAACTCTCAGCACTGCTCAACCGGACGGTGTTCAAAAAGGAATAATTTAAATTATATCGCTTTCTCTTTTAGCCTTCGAATTTATCAGTAATTTTTTTCCCATGGCTCAGTGCTATCTTGACTTCTTAGGCAGAACTGCTGGTTGAGGTGTGGGTTTGTCTGCATTGCCTCTTTATCTTTGTCTTTTCCTGGACTTTGTAGACATAAGTAATCTTGAAGCTATCAAATTTGCTTAACCCAGTAGATATTATGTGCTTCTATGTGCAGAGCATGCAGGTTCAGTCAGGCAAACACTGTGGGCAGTGAATGAGTAAAATCCATAAATGAATGAAGTTATTCTTGTTACGTGCAGCAGTGGATGCATTTGCACCTTTTAATTAGTGGGAAAACGTGGAGAAAAGACAGTTATTAGATGAGTGTTTAGGCCTGGAAATGCTGGTGTAGAGAGACAGGGCACCTGCGCTCTTCCTCGGCTTCTCCAGTGCCTCCTCTGGATGGCTTTCATCAATAAAACCTCAGGAAGAGTGGAGCTGGGTGGGCTTTGTCTCCTTCCTGCACCTCGGGGTGACTGGAGCTGTGAAATTACAGACGGGGTTTGAAAACGTTCAGGGTTGCACTGCGAGCAGCGAGACCGCGTTTCTGAGCGTTCCGCCATTCACTGTTGGTGAGCGCTGGGATTTTCCCCGGTTGAACGTTTCACAGAGGCAGAGCTGCTGAGGCCGCAGGCTCCCGTGCAGCCCGAGCGGGGACAGCGCTGGTGGAGCTGGAGCTGGCGGTTCCTCTGGGTGCTCGTGGTGTGCGGTTGGGTGGTTGTTGGGTAGGGGTGCAGCGGGCGGCTGTGGTGGTTGTGGAAGAAGAGGTAACTCGTGGGGACTCAAAGGAGAGATCGCTAAGGGGGTACCTTACCTCAGGAAACCAGAATTACTGCTTGTGTGATAGACCTTCAGGAAAGGAAGACTGTTCTGGTTGGGTTTCTTACCCTGCATTTCTTCAGCCTCCACACCAAGCTGTCTCACCCGATCCTACTAAAAATGGGTAAACCTGTGTTTCCAGGCTTGTAATGCTGAAAATCCCGTGTTCTCTGGAGATTTCCTTGCCACCATCCTGTAAGGCTTTTCTGACTGTGCATATATGACGTTTCAGTTTATTCCTACTGTTTGTGCAGTCTGACCCGAAGTGGCTCTGGGCTGAGCGTTGTTGGATTTGCTGGTGCCAGTGGTGGCTCTTCACTGAGGCTGAACTGTCGGGGGTGTGGAGCGCGCTCACTTCCTCGCCTTTTCACCGTCTTTCCCAATTAACTTTCATTTCTCTGTTCTGTTGCAGAGCAAGGAAGTGGGGCTGCAGCTCCAGGAAGACTTGATGAAGGTCCTGAACGAGCTCTACACGGTAAATCAAACTGACTGAGAAGTGTTTGGCTTCCCCCAGCCTTCCCAGCTGGAGGCCGCTTGTGTCCCCCGTCTATAGAGCACCGCAATATCTCACTTTTTCACTCTGTGCTTGTGCTGTTTCCATGTATTTTCTCCTTCCCAAAGATCTCACCTTAGTGCATACCTGCTGCTAGCTGCAGTGTTGGTTTTAGCAAGAGTAACAGGTACTAGAGTTATTTCCAGATAGGCTGAGAAGCCTCAGTCCGTGGTTTGGTGTGGTCTGAGCACACAAAGGCAGCAAACAGCTTCAGCGAGGGGACCACGGGGTTTATTTGCTCCTCAACTCTTTCAGCAAAGGGCTTCCCTTCAGAGCAATCATTTCCCATCTGTGCTTTGCTTCTTGGTAAATCCATTGGAGACACCGAGAGAGGCGCTGCCTCGGGAAGGAGCAGGGCTGCGTTCACACACGTTCATGTGCTGCTTGGGGATTTTTCTCCTCACGGAGATGAATGGAAAAGCCTGTTCTTTGGGTCACTTTCTGCAGCTCTTGCTGAGCTGGTTCTTGTTGAAAAGCAGAACCTGCCCGTGGTTTTGTTGCTCAGAACGCCTTTTCTTTTGCCCTTCCTTAGCGATGCATGGGGTCGTTACACTGAGGTACCCGTCCTTGCCTTCGTGCTCTCTAGAGATGATCCAGGGCTGTTTCTCACGCCGTGGCATTTCAACCTTGCGATGAAATTCGGTGTTAACATCAGTGCTGGAGTGTTGGGGGGCATTCCCTGAGATTTCCCATATCACCAAAATGCGTACAAGAGGGTTGTTTCAGTGCTTCACGTGGTAGGACGTTCAGGTGGTGGCTGGGGGAGTTTATATAGACATGGGTGATCGCTTCTGCATGCCAGGCTCTGGCAGGTCCTACACTCAAATACTGAGTCCCATAGTTTCTCCGTCACTGGAAGGAAGATCTTCCAGAATTCAACCTTTGATAACCAAAGCAATATAGGGTGCTGACTTTTTAACATGTCAGTGCTAGGAACTTGAAATCTATTTGTTCATTCCTTTTGCTGTAAAATTTTCAATTGCCCCTTCACCAAAAAGTTTCTTTTCCTTTGAAAAAGCCACTCCTGTTGCTATTCAAATGCATTTCTTGCTGGACTCAATGTAATCTCTGCTGGGATCGGTACTTCTAGAAACACTTCCACCTCTTGTTCTGGGTGTCCAGAGGGACACAATCAGAATCAGACACAGAATCAGAATCAGATACAGAATCCCTGTTATGAGGCAGGATGGACATGGATAAGTCTCTGTTTTCCTTGCACAGACAAAGCCCAGAGCGTGGCTGTAACCTGGAGCTCTCCATGAGCGGTGCCATCGGCCTTGGCCCTCAGCAGGCCCCAGTGACCCCATTGCAGCCACAGGCAGGGCTGGGCAGCAGCACAAAACCATTAAAGTTGTCATTTCTTTCGCTGCTTCTCTTGCTTTCTGCCAGATCCACTCTCAGCAACAGAGGAAAAGAAGCTACTTTGCATCTGTTATTATAAATGCCTGCTTTATAGTCTAAGCATATGCAGGAGCTGGGAGTGCGTGTGTAAATTATTCAGAAAGTCCCTCTCCAGCACTGGGTGCGTTCACATCCCCTTTCATGTTTGAATTCAGTGTCTCTTTGTATTGGAGAGCTGTGCTGATCGCTGCACAGAGCATGCGTCCCGCTTATGTGAAATCGTGTTATGGTTCAGACGAAGGTGAAATGGGTATAAATGGGGTTTTCTTCTGAAATAAGTCAGATTACTTGCAAGTGGGGTCTTTGCTATTGCTGGAATGACAGCATTGGGGTGTCTCTGTGCAACTGTGCAGTTCTTTGGCTGCCTATCATAATTATATCATCATGTTTGCTTTGGTGTGTGAATTGAATTGCTTAGCAAAAAAAGCTAGTGTGTCTGTGTGTATATATACAGAGCTTTATATATATA